TAAATGTCACTATAAGCATTTCCCGGTTGACTATCGTACACCGGATCCTGCATGTCTCTTTCCGACCAAAATTGGCTTATGTCAGCCCATTCTCGCCGTTTAACCTTTATAAATGAGACCAGAACTCACCCCAGACATGATGATTCAGCCTATATTCCAGATACGTCCGCGCACGGCTATTAGAATTGCCAGTTGTACGAGACAATGCACTTTTTTTCGGTTATGTCTAGTCCGTGACGGAAACACACTATGTCTGGTTCGTTCGCATAAACGTACCGTAATCGATCCAGCCCTCAGTGTTTACTCATTTGGTAGCAAATTTGATTGAGTGACGCTCACTCACTAGGGTTAGACTGCCCCTCTTGCAGTCAACCTCTGAGAGTTTTGATAGTAAGCGAGTGGTTGCCTTAACTATAATAGCACGAAAGAGGTGCTTGTTGTGTGGTACAGCCTCGTCCAACACGTTTTCCCCATATTGCCCTCTTTCCCTGTCTTCGTTTTAGGGTTTTTTCCGTCGCACCGTCTTGTCAAACGTCCGCCTCGAGTGTCTCAGCAACAATGATTGTCCAATCACTCCAGCTAATCGCAATATGTGCAAAAGTTGTCGTTTCCAACGTTGTCTTGCTGTTGGAATGTCAAAATCTGGTAAGTTCGGAAGCTGTACGTTTTTCTCTCCCCAGTTCCCATGGTTTGTTTTAGAACTTGTCCCAGTGCGGGGCTTCATAAGGTTCCCTCTTTCCAACAGGTTTTGGCGCATTTGTATGTTGCTTTGTTTCAGATTGGCTTCGATATTAGAAGCCTCGCTTTCACGCCCGTGCGGGAGGGGCTCTCGCCCACTGATTAGTTATGTAATTTTGAGCTAATACACCATTATTCGGAGCAAGGCCAATCTATGTCAAAACAGTCCGTACCCCGCCTGTCTTGACATCCTGCTGTGGGTGGCTGACGAGCAGTACGACTGGCTCGCATGTTTGTATGACGTGGTGCCACTCATCCTCGAATGTCCACATGCACTCCGGCGCCGTGGTCCTCCTGGCTATCTCGAGAAGCAATCTATCGTGTTTTGTTTCTGAGTTACTACCGTTATGTTGGAAGTAGTATATTAAGTAGTCGTGGTTGTTTTACTTACCCAGTCTCACCTTTGCTGTATGGACGACTTACTTATTTCCTGGATGGCCAGGTTGTGTCCCCCATGTAGCCGTGTGCGTCCATCATATCTTTTCGTAGTGTACCTAAAAACACTTCTCGCAACCAGGTTTCAAAGTGATAAGTGTCTAGGCGTAACATACTACTCATAAGGTTTATTGTCAAGGTTGTTCATACATGGAGGCTCATCGTCCGATCAGATGGCCTCATCGTGAACGTCCCTTTACTGGACATCGTGAATCCCTGATGACACTCCACAACAGCTATGCACAAACGAAACTCCGTTTTTTTCGATGTCCCCTTAAGAGGGAGTATTCATCTAGCACCTATGCTGATTACCCAACAAAAGTGCATTTGGTTTACAATATCCCGGTTCCTCCGCGTGATGGCGACAGTGAGCTGGGTCGCAGCCAAGGTCCCCCTCGAAGGCGATCCAACTCGTCGGTCGTTCTGGAGCACCTCTACAGTTAATAGTGATTGATTGCTGGAGGATACAACGTACTCCAATTTTGCAAAGGGACTAGGAGTGTGCTAACTCTGTGCATTGTAGACCCAGAACGGTGCGTGTGAGGAACCGATTGTCAACAAATGTGTGGATTCGCTATTATTGTCGTTGTTGTTTTTGTTGTTCTATTGTACTCGGGTTATTGGACAGTCGCGAAGACAGCGCATGGTCGTGTGCAATCAATACTCACGGGTACTACTAACTATTACTACTACTACTAGTGAACTGTTGGCACAAGGGCGCGTGCGCGCGCCTAGTCATTCTTTTTCTCTGGGTATCTATGACAGAAGATAATGTGCCTTTTGTGCGTGTATGTGCGCACTCGCATGTGTTTACAGGCAGGCAGGCGTGTTGACGACTTCGTCTGATCGATCTGACTTTGAGGGTTCGTCACAGTTTTGTTCGTATCACTACCAAGGCAAGGCCGGTCGGTACCCGATGACCGCTCGTTCGTTTAAAAGCCGGTCCCTTCTTGGAATCCTAAAATCCCTCAAATTCAGCTGGACGAACCTCACTTCTGGATCCCTCTCCGAACTTTCCGACTGTGTAATACACAGTTTTGTTGAAACTGTGTTCCGATAATTTACCAACATGTCGTTCATTGTCAGGTCGACCGCCTCACAGTAAAGCTTAGTAAATTGAGCCTTCACGCCAATTTAGTGTGGGCCATCTCATACGCATCGCTCTTAATGCGGGTTTAAATAATCTTCACAGCCTGTTTCGATGATACGAGAAGGTTTGACCCATTGATTTACCCCTTTTCTGTGTGCCTTGTCCCAAATTCATCCTGTCCTATGTAGTAGGTTCTTTGAGCTCATAACTTTCGAGAAAACGTACTTCAATCACTGGTATGCAGGATTCTAGAAAAATACACATGGACCGTCTGATAAGTAGTGTGCGTCATCAAGGTGAATTTCTTGTAAAATTTCCCGAATGCCTCTGTTACACACTGGTTCCTTCGGGAAGTATCTTGCGCAGGTTTGTTTTTTCGACGTGCGTTGTTTTGTTTCATCTTTTTAGGGAGCCGCATTGGTCGCCAACCGAACGCCATCAAATACTACTGCGCTCGAGAGATTTCCCAATTGACCAGTTCTTCCGGCGAATCTGATGCGAATCAGCCTAGCTCATCCGTACCGTCTATGTCCAACGGCCGATCATTGCAAACCAGTCGACAGCGTGCCGATTCTGCTTCCTCAGACGGCGAGAAACTCGGTAGATCTTCTTCGCATCCACGCCCTCCCTCTTGGATCACGGATCGATCCATACAGCCGGCACATTCTTCAACCGATCAGGCCTCATCCGCCCTGTTATCCATCCACCTGCCTCAAAGCCAAAACGGACAACTCCCTAGTCTAAATTCACCAATCAAGTCCTTCACGCCCACTAAACGAGCTGACGGTAACTTTGCCTCCGGTGGAGGTCCACGTCGGTTTTCTGCCGATTCCATCCAGCCACCGGACAGCAGTCCAAAGTCCGTGCCTGGTCAAAAGCGACGCAAAGTCTCCGCCGACCGATATCCGACTGGCAACAATGCCGCTGGGGTCGTGTATGTTGACGGCTCGTCCATGACCTTTTCACCTCAGTGTGATCCGGATAGTGAACGGGTTCGATACGCATCCTCTTCATCGCCGAGTATGGCTTTCCGTGACTCTCATGCTTGTCAACTGCACGAACTAAGTAGTTCACGGGTGTCCAGAGAATGGTACGTATTATCTACTGTTGTTTCATGTTACTAGCGATTTGACGGACAGCTGGAATCGATTTGTTTTCTCACGAAATAATCGATCTGAAAAAAAAGTCGTTTCTGATAGCCCGGACAGTCTAGCCTGATTATTTTAAAGTATGTCAGTTCCTGTCCAGAAAACAAGCTAAAGCCTGATTCTCTTCCTCTGCGATCCATATCGTGAAACAAACGATATTTTCCCACATATCCACTTGTCAGCAGGACGAACGACCGATGCGATATGAGTTAGTCATGTGATTGATGGTTCTTTAGTTCTTTCGAGTATCTTACTGTTCGGCTTTTACAAATTCTCCGATCTCTGTTCTTTTTCTCCCAATATAAAATTTCTCGCTTCGTCCAGTACGTGGGACGAGATGGCTCAGCGTTTAGGGCTCCCATTTACTGACCGAAGAGTCCGTGGTTCGAACCGGACCTTCGCCTCTCGACTTCCCCTGCCTAGGCTTGAGCAACCTGGCAGTATCCCTGCCCTCATGCTTCCTTCGGGTGGCATGTCGACCAGGCACCGAAAGGCCGTTACAGCTGGACGACTTTTTACTTTATTTTTGATTGCATAGAAAATTGAATCATACTGCTGACGACAGTTGGTTCGATGTAACCGAGATTTTCGCTGTGGAAACCAAGCTTATCAGTGACTGCAGACTCTGGAGAACTATACTTCTGCGGTGCTTGTAGGGTCAGCGCATCTTCTTGATATTCCTTGAGGCTTGCGACTGTCCTGCAATGCTCTCACACTGGGCGTATATCAAATGTATCATACATTACAACCAGTTAAGCATTTTGTCAGCCAGTGACCGAACGACAACAACAACTCGGCATACGTGCGCAAGAACGTTGTCTCCTGAAGTAATAACTTCCTCTCTCTCTCTCCCCCCACAATTGTGCCGTCTATAGGGTATCGTCCAACGAAAGTCTCCACGAGAGAGCTCGAAGACCGTACGACTTGCCAATAGATCAATTGTCCCACGGCTCTACCACTCCACTTGAATATTCCCTTCCGAACCCGGACACAAGCACTCATATATCTTCCACCACATCCATACATGAACACGACGATCTGCTAGTTCCCAGCCCTGGAAAACTCTTGGTTCCACTGGCTGTGCATCTTCCGCTTGATGAGTCTGGCACAGAAGAGCTTCAGATGCAGTACAAAGTCATTTCTGCAAATGATGTGCTACAGCAGCAACAGCCTCAGCGAAGTGATTCTGCGTCGTCCACCTTCACCAACAACACATATGGTACTTTATTACGAGATCCTGGAGCATCAACTGCGGCGCTACACTTCCAGTCACAGCAATCCTCGTATCGCGCTCAGGTCGTTGTCCCTGACAGCTCACCTCGGCGCGTTTCACCGCTACCATCCTCAAACCTGTCCACATCAACTCCTCCTTCGTCCAATCTGCCAATCAGGTTAAACGCGGACGAAGTGCAGCAGTTGACTCAGCGAGCTGGCGCCGTTTCTCGATCCAGTCGGAGTGTGGTGGATAATCTAACCTCGACGGTCCTCCAGTATCGGCAACACCAACATCAACAACGGCTACTTGCGTAAGTACACAAGAGTTTTTCTCAGTTCCCTGCTTACTCCCAACTAGCTAGTCCGTTGTAGTAACGTCTCCCTGTGGTGAGCTAGAACACCACTTGACGCGTTCCATGTAAGGTTTACTTGACGCATACTTTACTTTACTTGGTACATAGTTGTAGACGAATAACACCGCTAGCAAGGATTTCTACTCAACTATCTGGCGAGAACACCCAGTTTCCCTCTCTCTCCCTCTGCTGTATGGAACTTCCGGGTCGATATACTTTCCGAACAATCGTTTACAGGTATTGATCAAGCAAGCCATTTTACTCTCCCTGGATGAGATCTTTCAAAAATTCAAACCGAATCAACTGAAATAAGCCGGAACGCACCAGTGCAAGTACTTCACACTTTTAAACTGCGGAATACCGCTGCATGACTGGTTGAAATTAAACCTGACAAATATGCACTCGAGCATATCAGACCCATCGCTCAGGCGTGAACAGATTCGCCTGTTCAAGCGTCATAATTCAGATGCGTCCGCCGTGCGTTGTTGGAACAGCGGCAACACGTCCGCCTCGCTATCCGGAGTTGAAATCACCGGTCAAGAATGAGCATTGCTGATGAGCTTTGACAAGAGCGAAGCTCAAGTCCACTGCTTCCCCGCTTTGGCGTAAACTCTCCGGAATAATTGCACCAGAACAGGAGGGGGACTGTTCAAGCGAGAGTGATGTGAACGTGATATTTCACCGGACGATTGGACGAGTTGGGTTGCTAACCCTAACACTGTGGACGAACAATTCATCCATGGGGATGAGGCTGAAAAAGTTCATTAGCTCACGGGGGAATCCTTCTTCCATGTTGTAGTAACGGTATTTCTCTCAGCTTAGTTCTCGGTCTCAGCCTCCCAAGCTAGTGTTCACGTCAAAAACAACCACCAAAGGTACAGAAGGTATATTAACACCCCAAACGAAGTCAGGAACAGTTGTACGGCGCTTCGTATATATAGCGTAGGCGGTTATAACTTTCTGGAATTTCTGACGCATTCTGGATGCGCCATTGGCAACCAGCATTTGGCCAGTACTGGATCATGATTGGCTGTTGGGTCCAGAGTTTCGACCAATCGGATCTTGTCTTGATGCCGGACCGGCAAGCTTCCCGAATTCTTGGCCAATCTTGCGTGGGATGGACTTCTCGGCCTTAGCGGCACCTGAGTGCGAGTGACAAGGAAGGATCCATGTGGAATTCCGCCTAACACATGTATTGCTTGCCTAAAGTTCCTTTATGTGAGTGCAAGTACGAGGATAATCCTCGATAGGGTCTTGTCAACAGCTTAGGAGGATGGGTAGTTTACCCTCACTCCTCCAAATGAAATTGATAGCGGAACGTGGCCATCAGTCATTTGTATTTCTGTCGAAACACCACCACTTTAGGCTCTCGCTGGTGGTACGCAGTGCCCTGACAGGACTGGCGTTTCTGCTTTTCTAGAATAGATGCCCCGATTCACTCACAACTTACTGGTGGGTGTCTCCGTATTAGTGACGTGAATCTGAGTAGCACTAGAACTGGGGCGTCGGCTACTGCGACCCACGCGACGGATCACTCTTCACATGTTTCCCGGCTCTGTCAGTGTCTGAGTAAGGTAGCTGAAAGTTGTTTTCACACGTCCGACGATTCATCGTTCCACGTTATTGAGCTATCCTTCGTGAACAGTCATTCCAGGTAACCTGAGCTAGGAACTTGCCGGCCTTCATACACTTTCCTTTTTCCGACCAGGGACTGAATGGTGTCTCAACAGCTATCTAAACAAGCCTCAATCGATACAATCAGTTCTTAAACGAGTACTTCTGGTCTATCCTCACTCGGAACCATTCTCCTTGGCTAATCCTTTTCATCTTTGTGGTTTCAGCGACTCAGGCATCAAAATGGACTCAGGCATGACAACAATCCACATCCCCTGTTCGTCACCATCCGAACTACATCAATCCCGAACACAGTCGTATGGTCGACTTAGTTCCGGATCGTTGCCCCAACCATCCAAACATTCTCCGGTGCCGTCACATCCCGATGTGCCCTATCCCTCTTGCTCATCTTCTTCACCGCCCACTCGAATCCCCATCCCTTCAAACCACCCGTCCTATCCATTGTCTACCTCGTCCGGGAAGCCCACTTCACCGGAATTGTCTTGGCATCCAACTAAGCATCAGCAACAACGCACCGGAAGAGGCGTACACAACAATGGGTCAGCCAACGCGGCTGCCGCCGCTACCGAGCTCCAATTTCGCGCTGGCTGTCTGCCGAGCAAGTTTGAACTCTCTCCTGTCAGCACTTACTTGAATGGGAACTCCAACGAGCCCAGCCTGTGCCCAGTGGACGTGACTGCAACCTCTTCCGCCTCATGGTTTGCCGCGGCTGCCGCGGCAGCCGCAGTGGCCAATGCGTTGATGGCCGCTTCCCAGGCTCCTAGCTCCAGCGAAATATCCGCGAGTGATAGTTATACTGCGATTTCGTCTAAGTTGAGCCACTCGGTACGTTGAACAAAGGTATTCATTAGCAGAACTGTCTTATGCTTCGTTAGTGTGACAGCTGTGTGCACAAAAAGTATTCCGACGTGTAGATGTTCGGATCACTTTTGAGTATCTGTTTCTTGTCTGTAACGCACCTCTGTCGAGTTATTTCTTCATAAACAAGGAGCTCCTGGATGATCAAGACGCGCGGTGAGGTGTAAGAAGCGAATTTTGAACACATTTCACAAACTGCATCATCTGTAATACACATTTAACCGTTGTATCGTGGCAAAGCTATAATTCGAGCGTTTGTTATGTTGGAATTCTGGAGAACTAGCTGCTCCTTCGTTCGAATCCGAACACATGTGTTGCTGCAGTTCCCCGGTATGGATGAAACAGGCGTCAGTTACTTCGCTGACTATGTATGGGTGGAAATTCATACGAAATTCATCTCAATTTACCCAGTCCTTCATACGGGGCATGACGGGCAAGCCAACCACAATTCCAATAGATCACACAACAATAAAACGAACTTCATAGGGAGTGGCTGTTGTTGAATTCATGGGTGTCTCTGTGCTCTGGAGCTTCATGGGAATACTGCGTGAGCTCCGCCCAGAGTACGAGTGCGTCTTTTGCTTGAGAAGACTACCCTAACTTTCCAGTATGTGTTTAACCAACCTCCAGTGCAGCCGGGGAGGCAGCATTGACATTGAATCATCGTCTGTACTGATCCAACCACATGCGAATCCTCCACACCCTCTTTGCAGACTGATTGAAGGCTTCAGGCGCCGAGTTTTCACACCTAGTTGAAACCGGTTGCAGATTAGTCTGTACTTTGGGAACCACTTGTAAGAGCTCTATCTACTGGAACTCGTGTTAAACGGCTTGAGCAGGCACTGAGACCATTGGTACCCACTAGTGACTTGAGTTCACTTCGTTTTGTTGTTGGCTTTGCATACGTAGTTGAACAGGTCCTCAAGGTGGTTGAAGCTCCTTGGTGGAGTGGTTCATTAAGCCCCGTTGTGTTATGGAGTACGTACCCCTAAAACTGGTGCAGCGAATACCAGCTGAGATCTACGGGATCAGTTATTCGGCGCCTGAAACCAGAAGAACCACAGATAACTATGGGCGATGGAAGCTCGAAAGATCCTTAACGGCGGAAAAAGACTTTTTGGAAAGTTGAGCTTTCTGAAGAGTAGAGTTTAATGGGCGCAGAATCGAAAAAAATCGTCCAGTTGTAGCACCCTTGTGGTGCCTAGCTGCCACGCCACACGATGGAGTCAAGAGGGCTGGGATACTGCCAGGTCGCCCAAGCCTAGACAGTAGAAATCGAGTGGCAAAGGTCCGGTTCGAACCATGGACGCTCCGGTCAGTAAATTCGCGCTCTAACCACTTGGTCCTTCTCGCCCCGCGCAGAGAGAACTGTCCCCTTATTTACAAACTCGAGTGCACGTACTCCAAGTTGACCGTACGTGCGTTGACGTGTAGACCACTGTCCTGGTTTTTTGACCGTCACGTCCAGTAACTCATTGTTCAAGAAGGCATATTCGGATGAGTTTACATGGAGGACTTCGAACAAATAGCCTTGACCGGATATCACTGTCCACCCAAAGTTTTTTGGCGTTATGTTACGACACGTTTGTTGTAATCAAACGAGATAACGTGACCAGTTTCCTCGACTATCTCAATAGTTTAAACCCACACATTAAGTTTAGCATGGAAATAGAATCCACCTCGGGCACATTACCCTTTCTGACCCGTATAACACATAAGATTGGTGGGAAATTGAAAACGACTATCTACCAGAAACCAACAGACACAGGAACCGTCTTAAGCTATCCATCAGCAACCCAAAGTCCGTGTACGCCAGTATTGTCTCATCGATGTTTCGTCGAGTCAGAGCGCTGTGCACAGAAGAGATCGACCGAACGGCAGATCAAATCGAGATTTCCAACAAACTTCAACAAATGGGATACACAACGTTCGAGTAACTTTTCAGAAAGAAAAACGCTTCGCTCAGTCTTGGTGCAATTGAAAGATTCCCCCCTCAATTGAAAGGACTAGGGACTGCGTGTATAAAATTAACTGCAACAATTGTGCTAAGGTTTATATAGGACAAACTGCCAGGGAATTGCACACCAGAATTGGTGAGCATAAAAGAAGGATTAACAAACCACCAAGGAATGCAGAAGAATACCAAACGCTGGTCAAAGACTCAGCGATGGCGGTACATGCCTTAGACACGGGACATAGAATAGATTTGGAGAATGTGGAAGTTTTAAGACGGGGACTGCGATTCACACCACACCGGTGGAAATTACTAAGCATCACAGCGTGAATAGAATCGAGGGTGTGGAGCTGGCGAGCGTATGCAAAGCGGTTTTTATTTAAGCCGAGTTGACACGTGACGGTGTGGTTGTCAACCCACTTAGGATCATTAGAAAAAACCGGGGGTGGGGGGTGGAAACCCCAACCGACCAAAGGTCACAGCATCCCTCTTACACAACTATCTTAGCACTAGCTCACCCACACAGACTGGCAGGGTTCGAACGAAGTTCAAGAGGAACCATCAAATGAACCGAACCAGAAGAACTAGACCCTAGGCTGGACCCAAACACATGTGGGTTCCCCCACCGACCCAACACTTGTTCACCCACCCTAACACACTAAAATCCCTGGGCCGACACCCAACAGAGATTTAGCTTGACTTAACTGATTGGTTCTCCTTCCGCCCTAAATCTCCACCAACTTCGGAACCTAGTCACTTGGCCTGACGAAGCTTTTGTGTCAAAAGCGAAACGTTGCCCACCAATAAATCTACCGATTGCCACCAAACTTTTTCGAAAACGAGTCAGTTTTTATTTATTTATGTTGGATCAGTAACTAGACTGTTTCCCAAACTATCCTACACACGGTACGCGGAGCCCACAACCAGCTGGACCCAACGATTGGTGTGTTAGCTGTAGAATCTGCACAACTCGAACAATTAATCTTCGCTTTATCGACTGAACGCTGAGTGCACAGACGCACCTGATTTTCGCTTGACAGCTCCCTATTTAAGTAGATTATTGCTGAGATAGGGCGATACGGGCCCCAGCTCACCCCCCCCCTCGGAGCCATTAGAGTAACGAGATGAGATTCATACCCACAAATGGATAAATATTGATGGTTCAAACACGGACCTGGATCCATTCTTTCCCAAAGTTAAATTAGGATAACAGTTGATTAGTCCGTTGTTATAATTATCAAGAAATGGAACCTGAAAATTACATGGACATGTCTGGAAGTACTTCCAGTTGCAATTATTCAATGATGTTTGCGTGTTCTCGCTTTTCGGGGCGCATGGTTAGAAAATTCGTCATATTTATTCTTACTAAATTCGAGATATGGAGAGCCAATGTCAATCACTCACGGCTCGGGGTCGTATACCTCGACGTACCTCAGCGTCGTTAAACCGAGTGACCTGTTAGAACTGTCCTACTTAAATGGTTTACGTCGATCGTTTCAATCAGAATGAGACTAGTTGGTTTTCGAAAACTATGGTAGAACTTTGACCTAGCCCGGTAGACCTAACCGGATCCATCTTTGGAGGCGGCAAAACGATGTTACAGGATTTCTGTGAGTGGGTGTGTTAGATTACCTTCCCCGTAATCTCCCGCTCTGAGTAGCTGTCCGAGACACTGAAATGCGGTGTAGTCTTACCGCTTACTCTATGCGTGGACATTCTTTCTGCTGTAACACTCTTCCGGTGCCTAGCTCCCATGCCACCCGAAGGAAGCATGTGGTCTGGAATACTGCCAGGTTGCCCAAACCTACACAGGGAAAGTCGGGATGCAAAGGTCGAGTTTGTTTCACGGACGTTGCTGATAATTATGATGATGATGAGATTGCGGTCAGTAAATTCGCGCTCTTACCACATCCATCTTGCCCCCTGTGTGGACATCGAACACTGAAATTCTGTCCTTATCCACTTGATGAGTCCCAGTCAGGACGCATCGCGCAGTAAATTGTCGTTCTTTTCATAACATGGCCCACAATCTTCATAGCTAATCCAACGGGCCTTGCTGTATCAGTTATAAGTCTCAGTTATCGCGTTTAAGTGCTATTTTTGGTCCACATATGCATCGGTTTGAACAACCAAATCCACAGTCTGGATTCAGCGACTCAGTGTCCTCGTCAGCAGCTGGTGAATGAAACAACCGCGTCAGCAACTAAATTGGTCTTGTGGAACGGAGTCGAAATTGAATAGTTGGGATCTGATGGACAACTGAGACGGAACCCTCCGCTTGAGGTTGTATTCTTTCAAGAGACTTTTGAGACTGTATCCTTTGACCTATTACCTTTTTTTGGAGAAGGGGCGTTCAGCCTCGAAAATCAAGATATGCGATCATGAGGACCTAATTTGTTCGATGCCAGAGTTTCGTCCATCCAAGGGGCGGTATTTCGTACTAGCAAATGCGGAGTTACTATACTCTTCGTTCGCAGTTTGACTGATATTGTCCTCGTGTCAGTGGGACCCCGTTGTTGTCTCAGACGGAGTATTTTCATCACCAGAACTTGTATCCTGTTGCCCTGATGATAGGGTAACTGTTCGTCACAAATGGTTTCGTTGGAGGTCCCAGTTCATGTTATCCTTCTCTACCCATGTCCATTATAATCGGCTGCCACGTCATTGTCCATAGATGACCGGCCTGAACTTTTTCTCCTTTAGCGGTTAAAAACCGAAAGCCCACTATCCAGCTCTGGATCTCCCGCGGTCTTGGTAGCCGCAGCTGCAGCAGCCGCAACCGCCGCCGAATTCGTCCTGTCCAACCGTCGTGTCCGAGGTGCTCTACCCTCGGAAGATTTTCATCATCGTTCCTCATCCTCGGCCGGTGGTATTGGTGGAGCTACCGGATTCCCAGTCTATTCCTCTCCCGGCACCTCTTCACCGTCCCCTCCGCTGGGTGCGTTCTCGCGTGCGGCTAGTATCATCGCCGCAACCACCGCCGAAGCTTTATGTGCGGAACGCGCAAGTCAGCTGTGCATGGACTATAACTTGGCCGGGTTCGGAAGCTCCATACGAAGTGCGGCTGCCACTTCTTCGAATTCTATGGAACCCACTCCATCGGTTAACCTGCAGGTCACAAGCAAGGAGACTCATACCACTGGAATACGATCCAGGAATGGTCTTCGAGCCGTAAGTTTCCTAATGACTGAGACCTATAAATTCCCAGTCACTCCCGTCGCCAATGTTCTAATCCCCAGAATGAAAATTAACTGATCGATAGAAGTCTGTACGTCTACGAAGGACCCGTGTGACTACCGCTGGCAAGATCTCATGTCCGACTGATGTGTTTAAATGTTCCCCACCAATCTTTATGTTCACGACTGGGTAGACGATACTCTCCAGTTGCATCATAAACGAGGACAATTTATCAGCAACCTTAAAAAGCAGTGCAGTGCGTCAACTGCTCTTGTTAAATTTAAACAAGAGCGGAAAATCGCGGTGTTCCTCGTAAGGAATGTTTGCCTGTGTACAACACTTCCGTGCCACTATGAACTCTTTCTTTCCAATAATTTGACGAGCAGCACGATTGAGACAACTCATAGGTCAAGTGGGAAATAGCTAATCTGGAAGTTCACGGTTCGGATCTGATGTTAGCTGTTGGATTTCTCTGCCAAAGCAATCGGGCGTCAGATTACATGAGAGCTACATACCAGAAAGATATTCCCACTGAACACAGTGAACACCCCAAAGTGGGCGCAGCTATTGCCTTCATTGTCCCCCTCTTTTGTAGTTCTGAATAAGAACCGACTATTGTAAAACCGGCTCGATACCACGAAGCGGCACTCAGTTAGTAGATTTAGAACACCAATTGAGATAAACAGAGATTGTTTAATGTGATCATCCACGTGTGTTCCTTGCTATATTGGCGATGTTCATTTGTTGAGGCCCCCCCCCCGGCCTTAGTAAAATAGAGTCTCGTTGTTAACCATCAAGGTTTGGCGATACTGCTATTTGGCTGATTGGTTTTTTGTTGTTTAGCTGTGATTTGACGAATTCTATAATTGCTCATCGGGTACTCTCCTGTACTCCTGTACTATCCACTAGAAATTTGTAACGACCCGAATGATGTGGTATTGTGAGTGCAGAGAACATCGCAAACGTGCACTGGTGCTTGCTGGTTTTCAAGGGACTTTGAATTTCGTTCACCAGTACCCGACCCCAAAAGATGCCCATTGTTGGGATTTTGTAATGGAAAAAGTTTCGGAGGAAGAGCTGCTTTTGTTTCTTTTTTGCTTTGCATTGTGACTCCCCAGAAAGGAGCTCTCTGAAAAGAGGAATCCTCCCCGGGAGTATCTACATTAGTGTTAACCAAAAACCCAGAGTGAGACCAGCTCTCAGGGGGACCGAACGGCATCCTTTCTTACGGTGCTCGTCTCTCTTAAGAGATTGGGGTCATTGCTTCACCGTCCAGGGTGATTCACTGATCGAATCCCCCAGATGCGTCATTTTGAAGTGAATTTATTTGTTTCGAACCAAATCGAAATCGTCCACGTATGTGACCGATCGCGTAACCAGATTAGACAGCAACGTCCATCATTGAGTAGAGTCAACACACGGCTCGGCTACACACACACACACACACACAAGGTAGACAGTGAGAATTCGCATCGCATTACACACATCCAGTTGTCATTTGATGGTGATGATACGGTTACTACACTTCTTCGGTATTGTCTTGTCTAAATTTTAGGCTATTCGGAATGATGATGGATGTTTTGTAATGCAGTAGATCGTTTCTGACTGTCAGGATGAACAAAAGAGGTCATATTCATTGTTTCATATGTGTACAATTTGTTACCGATGGTGCGAAAGGCCTGGCCTTGGTTTCAGCAACGTATGTCATTTCACTCTTGTTGGTGCATTGACAGCCCCCCACCCATTGTCCATGTTTTTTTCCTGCATCATTCCACCGGGGAACCTTTGAATTTATTGGACCAACTTGCTACAACCACATCAGTAGCAGCGTTTGTTTTCTTCATTTTCAGACTTCGGTGACTGTACATGAATTCTCCGAAGGTATTCATAAGGCCGCCAAATACCTTTTGTCGGAGCGCAAGGTGAGATAACAGTTTGTGTATTACAGGTTAACCTCCGTTGTATATGTTTGGTTTCACTTTCTCTGCTGAGATACCTCGACAGTTAAGGCGCGAAACTACTAACTGGAAGGCCCATGGTTCGAATCCAATCCTGGCATCTTGACTGCTCCTGTGGAGATTGGGCAATCGGAGAGTATGTCAGCCCCCGTGTTTCTTGAAAAGAGTGGAGAGTGACCACCAGGCGCTTTGTACAAGCGCGTGACACTGAGATACAAAGCGATAGTCTCTCTTAGGGGTTCCCTTGTTTGTGACGATGGTCTGTAGGTGTTCCAATTCCTGTGCCACACTCGCTCAGACTGCGCAGTGTATCTTTCCTTGGTGTTTTGCTGGTCATCGTCGCGGATATCAATACACCAGGAGTAACTGCTGACGCTAAACGTCCGTACACTTGGGAGGCAAGAAAATTTTGTCAAGGCCAATGTCCCAAG